CCGTGTCCCCCCGCAGCCATGGAACCCCCCCAGCAGCCGGGGAGCCCCCCAGCAGCCCCGTGTCCCCCCGCAGCCATGGAACCCCCCCAGCAGCCGGGGAGCCCCCCAGCAGCCCCGTGTCCCCCCGCAGCCATGGAACCCCCCCAGCAGCCGGGGAGCCCCCCAGCAGCCCCGTGTCCCCCCGCAGCCATGGAACCCCCCCAGCAGCCGGGGAGCCCCCCAGCAGCCCCGTGTCCCCCCGCAGCCATGGAACCCCCCCAGCAGCCGGGGAGCCCCCCAGCAGCCCCGTGTCCCCCCGCAGCCATGGAACCCCCCCAGCAGCCGGGGAGCCCCCCAGCAGCCCCGTGTCCCCCCGCAGCCATGGAACCCCCCCAGCAGCCGGGGAGCCCCCCAGCAGCCCCGTGTCCCCCCGCAGCCATGGAACCCCCCCAGCAGCCGGGGAGCCCCCCAGCAGCCCCGTGTCCCCCCGCAGCCATGGAACCCCCCCAGCAGCCGGGGAGCCCCCCAGCAGCCCCGTGTCCCCCCGCAGCCATGGAACCCCCCCAGCAGCCGGGGAGCCCCCCAGCAGCCCCGTGTCCCCCCGCAGCCATGGAACCCCCCCAGCAGCCGGGGAGCCCCCCAGCAGCCCCGTGTCCCCCCGCAGCCATGGAACCCCCCCAGCAGCCGGGGAGCCCCCCAGCAGCCCCGTGTCCCCCCGCAGCCATGGAACCCCCCCAGCAGCCGGGGAGCCCCCCAGCAGCCCCGTGTCCCCCCGCAGCCATGGAACCCCCCCAGCAGCCGGGGAGCCCCCCAGCAGCCCCGTGTCCCCCCGCAGCCATGGAACCCCCCCAGCAGCCGGGGAGCCCCCCAGCAGCCCCGTGTCCCCCCGCAGCCATGGAACCCCCCCAGCAGCCGGGGAGCCCCCCAGCAGCCCCGTGTCCCCCCGCAGCCATGGAACCCCCCCAGCAGCCGGGGAGCCCCCCAGCAGCCCCGTGTCCCCCCGCAGCCATGGAACCCCCCCAGCAGCCGGGGAGCCCCCCAGCAGCCCCGTGTCCCCCCGCAGCCATGGAACCCCCCCAGCAGCCGGGGAGCCCCCCAGCAGCCCCGTGTCCCCCCGCAGCCATGGAACCCCCCCAGCAGCCGGGGAGCCCCCCAGCAGCCCCGTGTCCCCCCGCAGCCATGGAACCCCCCCAGCAGCCGGGGAGCCCCCCAGCAGCCCCGTGTCCCCCCGCAGCCATGGAACCCCCCCAGCAGCCGGGGAGCCCCCCAGCAGCCCCGTGTCCCCCCGCAGCCATGGAACCCCCCCAGCAGCCGGGGAGCCCCCCAGCAGCCCCGTGTCCCCCCGCAGCCATGGAACCCCCCCAGCAGCCGGGGAGCCCCCCAGCAGCCCCGTGTCCCCCCGCAGCCATGGAACCCCCCCAGCAGCCGGGGAGCCCCCCAGCAGCCCCGTGTCCCCCCGCAGCCATGGAACCCCCCCAGCAGCCGGGGAGCCCCCCAGCAGCCCCGTGTCCCCCCGCAGCCATGGAACCCCCCCAGCAGCCGGGGAGCCCCCCAGCAGCCCCGTGTCCCCCCGCAGCCATGGAACCCCCCCAGCAGCCGGGGAGCCCCCCAGCAGCCCCGTGTCCCCCCGCAGCCATGGAACCCCCCCAGCAGCCGGGGAGCCCCCCAGCAGCCCCGTGTCCCCCCGCAGCCATGGAACCCCCCCAGCAGCCGGGGAGCCCCCCAGCAGCCCCGTGTCCCCCCGCAGCCATGGAACCCCCCCAGCAGCCGGGGAGCCCCCCAGCAGCCCCGTGTCCCCCCGCAGCCATGGAACCCCCCCAGCAGCCGGGGAGCCCCCCAGCAGCCCCGTGTCCCCCCGCAGCCATGGAACCCCCCCAGCAGCCGGGGAGCCCCCCAGCAGCCCCGTGTCCCCCCGCAGCCATGGAACCCCCCCAGCAGCCGGGGAGCCCCCCAGCAGCCCCGTGTCCCCCCGCAGCCATGGAACCCCCCCAGCAGCCGGGGAGCCCCCCAGCAGCCCCGTGTCCCCCCGCAGCCATGGAACCCCCCCAGCAGCCGGGGAGCCCCCCAGCAGCCCCGTGTCCCCCCGCAGCCATGGAACCCCCCCAGCAGCCGGGGAGCCCCCCAGCAGCCCCGTGTCCCCCCGCAGCCATGGAACCCCCCCAGCAGCCGGGGAGCCCCCCAGCAGCCCCGTGTCCCCCCGCAGCCATGGAACCCCCCCAGCAGCCGGGGAGCCCCCCAGCAGCCCCGTGTCCCCCCGCAGCCATGGAACCCCCCCAGCAGCCGGGGAGCCCCCCAGCAGCCCCGTGTCCCCCCGCAGCCATGGAACCCCCCCAGCAGCCGGGGAGCCCCCCAGCAGCCCCGTGTCCCCCCGCAGCCATGGAACCCCCCCAGCAGCCGGGGAGCCCCCCAGCAGCCCCGTGTCCCCCCGCAGCCATGGAACCCCCCCAGCAGCCGGGGAGCCCCCCAGCAGCCCCGTGTCCCCCCGCAGCCATGGAACCCCCCCAGCAGCCGGGGAGCCCCCCAGCAGCCCCGTGTCCCCCCGCAGCCATGGAACCCCCCCAGCAGCCGGGGAGCCCCCCAGCAGCCCCGTGTCCCCCCGCAGCCATGGAACCCCCCCAGCAGCCGGGGAGCCCCCCAGCAGCCCCGTGTCCCCCCGCAGCCATGGAACCCCCCCAGCAGCCGGGGAGCCCCCCAGCAGCCCCGTGTCCCCCCGCAGCCATGGAACCCCCCCAGCAGCCGGGGAGCCCCCCAGCAGCCCCGTGTCCCCCCGCAGCCATGGAACCCCCCCAGCAGCCGGGGAGCCCCCCAGCAGCCCCGTGTCCCCCCGCAGCCATGGAACCCCCCCAGCAGCCGGGGAGCCCCCCAGCAGCCCCGTGTCCCCCCGCAGCCATGGAACCCCCCCAGCAGCCGGGGAGCCCCCCAGCAGCCCCGTGTCCCCCCGCAGCCATGGAACCCCCCCAGCAGCCGGGGAGCCCCCCAGCAGCCCCGTGTCCCCCCGCAGCCATGGAACCCCCCCAGCAGCCGGGGAGCCCCCCAGCAGCCCCGTGTCCCCCCGCAGCCATGGAACCCCCCCAGCAGCCGGGGAGCCCCCCAGCAGCCCCGTGTCCCCCCGCAGCCATGGAACCCCCCCAGCAGCCGGGGAGCCCCCCAGCAGCCCCGTGTCCCCCCGCAGCCATGGAACCCCCCCAGCAGCCGGGGAGCCCCCCAGCAGCCCCGTGTCCCCCCGCAGCCATGGAACCCCCCCAGCAGCCGGGGAGCCCCCCAGCAGCCCCGTGTCCCCCCGCAGCCATGGAACCCCCCCAGCAGCCGGGGAGCCCCCCAGCAGCCCCGTGTCCCCCCGCAGCCATGGAACCCCCCCAGCAGCCGGGGAGCCCCCCAGCAGCCCCGTGTCCCCCCGCAGCCATGGAACCCCCCCAGCAGCCGGGGAGCCCCCCAGCAGCCCCGTGTCCCCCCGCAGCCATGGAACCCCCCCAGCAGCCGGGGAGCCCCCCAGCAGCCCCGTGTCCCCCCGCAGCCATGGAACCCCCCCAGCAGCCGGGGAGCCCCCCAGCAGCCCCGTGTCCCCCCGCAGCCATGGAACCCCCCCAGCAGCCGGGGAGCCCCCCAGCAGCCCCGTGTCCCCCCGCAGCCATGGAACCCCCCCAGCAGCCGGGGAGCCCCCCAGCAGCCCCGTGTCCCCCCGCAGCCATGGAACCCCCCCAGCAGCCGGGGAGCCCCCCAGCAGCCCCGTGTCCCCCCGCAGCCATGGAACCCCCCCAGCAGCCGGGGAGCCCCCCAGCAGCCCCGTGTCCCCCCGCAGCCATGGAACCCCCCCAGCAGCCGGGGAGCCCCCCAGCAGCCCCGTGTCCCCCCGCAGCCATGGAACCCCCCCAGCAGCCGGGGAGCCCCCCAGCAGCCCCGTGTCCCCCCGCAGCCATGGAACCCCCCCAGCAGCCGGGGAGCCCCCCAGCAGCCCCGTGTCCCCCCGCAGCCATGGAACCCCCCCAGCAGCCGGGGAGCCCCCCAGCAGCCCCGTGTCCCCCCGCAGCCATGGAACCCCCCCAGCAGCCGGGGAGCCCCCCAGCAGCCCCGTGTCCCCCCGCAGCCATGGAACCCCCCCAGCAGCCGGGGAGCCCCCCAGCAGCCCCGTGTCCCCCCGCAGCCATGGAACCCCCCCAGCAGCCGGGGAGCCCCCCAGCAGCCCCGTGTCCCCCCGCAGCCATGGAACTCCCCCCGCACCATGGAACCCCCCCAGCAGCCCCGTGTCCCCCCGCAGCCACGGGTCTGACACCGCGACTTGGTGTGTTGCGAGGGGACTGGGGGAGGAGGACTCCTGGCTAAGAACCCTGGATGATATCACCCCTAAAAAATGCCTTTAGGTGACACGTGCCGCAGAGGCGTGTGTTGCGTCGGGGGTGTAAGAAAAGAGCTGTCATTAAGGGATTGGCCGTGGTTTCCCCTCCGTCGTACGGTTGGAAAAGTGTGTCACACGTCTCTCCTTCAGAAAGGAGAGAGGGATCGGCCTTGTGTCCTGCGGTACGGCGTGACACAGCCACGGCCTGGCTGAGCGTTGGTCCCACAGCGATTTCCAGCAGAACAGGAACCTAAATCATAGCTGTGCGCGTTCACTGAAGCCTTTAAGGAGAACGTGAACAGCTCCTGCAGGCTGGATTGCAGACCCGCTCTCTGGTTGCTGCTGCTTTGATTGCTTTTCCAGCACGGGGGGTTCTGTAGCGGCGTTAGTTGAGAATTACCTTTTGGCTTAGTTCAAGCCTTGTTGCACTTCAAATGGCTGTGTTACAGAACACTGAAGTCCTTCTGACTGCCTTTTGAGGCTAAATTTCCTTACGGCACCCTTAAAAAACCTGTAACGTATTACAAGAGAAACCAGTTTAGAAGCGTTTCCAGTGCTTATAAGGATCTTCCTAGCAAGGAGTAAAATGGCTGGAGCCTTTTTCCTCCTCAACAAATTATTCTAGTAACAGAAATACTTTAAATCTCATCCCGTTATCGCTTTTAAGAGGAAATGTGTCTGGTAACAGTTGCGTACTGTAAATGAACTGAAAAGTTTGTTGTTTCAGGTTCAGCGAGATCTAAATGTCGCTGTTGCTGAATTTACTGAATTGAAGCAGCAGTTGGAGCGAGACACGCTGGTTCTCAGTATTCTGAAAAAGCTACAGGAGGTGAGGAGAGGGAGCGGCTTAAAATCATTAAGCAGTAGTCATCCTCCCTGGTGCTCAGTCTAGAGCATTACTCTGGGCTTCTCTTTCGAATACCTGCCTACAGCTCCCCTGTCTCTAGCCGTGTTGTTTAAAGAATTGTCGTCTAATAGCAGATACACAGCGGTGACACACGAATCTGTTTGATCGTTGCAGTTTGATACAGCTATTAAAGAGTACAATACTGCATTGCTGGAAAAGAAGTATGTGGCAGCAGCTCAACAACTGGAAAAGGTGACAATGACTCCTTAAGCATAGGACAATATCGTTCATATATACTCTCAGTAAATTTCACAAGATGCTTTTCATTAGCAGGGGCAACAGTTACTCATGTTTTGTCTTTGATCTTTACCACCAGGCACGAAGCAGCCTGAACATGCTGGAATCCCGCAAGGGCTTTGAGCTGAAGATCCTCAAAGCACTAGGCACAGAGCTCACAGTGCAGACGCAGAACATGCTCTATCATCTAGGAGAAGAATGGCAGAAACTGGCTGTATGGAAGCTTCCTCCTTCAAAAGGTACTCGCCTAATGAATGGGAGCGATGAGCGGCAGCGTTCTTTGGCTGTCACTCCGCTCCCGGAGTATTGAGGTGCTACCACAAGCAATCCGGTGTGGTCAGTAGTTTTGAAGGTTCATCCGCCTCACCTGCGGTATTTCTTAGACCATGTTGAAGCAGAGATCAAAACAGTTACCAGCCTCTGAGTACGTTTTTAGCCTTGTGAAATACCAGAAAAGGGATGCTCTCTCGCAAAGCTTCTGCTCCTGAGGAAATCAGCTGGGCCAAAATTTCAGGTTGCTTATCATTGAATACCTGATTCAGCGTAGTAGCTGGAAGAGTTTTCTGAAATTTTTGCTCAGCCTGAACACGTTTCCCCACCAGGCTAGTTCTAAGGATACTTTTGCCTTCTGTGGTAGGTTTTCAGGTTGCCGCTTCTGTTGCGGGCGGCTAATGGCAAGAACCGCTCAAGAGCCTGTACGTTGCCGTCTTCGTTGAAACACAACTTTTCCTTTGGAAAAGACAGAACCCTCTTCCTTTGGATTTGACTTGAAATGGGCAGAAGAGGGGAAGGAAAGCGATTGTTGCTAAGTGTCATTCAATTGCAAGGCGACTGAAATGACAATTCTGGATCGTTGCAAGAGACTGATTCTATTCCATTGTCCTGCACTGTAACCCAAGGAACCGAGTACCCTCTTCTGATGCTTTTACAGGAACTGTGTTTTGTGGAAATGGGGAGAGGTAGAATATTGCTTTAGCTGATGGGCAGAAGAGGGGAAGGAAAGCGATTGTTGCTAAGTGTCATTCAATTGCAAGGCAACTGAAATGACAATTCTGGATCGTTGCAAGGGACTGATTCTATTCCATTGTCCTGCACAAGGAACCGAGTACCCTCTTCTGATGCTTTTACAGGAACTGTGTTTTGTGGAAATGGGGAGAGGTAGAATATTGCTTTAGCTGCCGCCTGAGGAACGCAGTAGCTTCTCAGACCTGCTGTGTCTCAGACGGCACTCTGACAGAGAGATGGTTCTTCTTTTTCTTTAGAAAGCAGCAGCCTGGAGTCAGCGATGCATTCGGAACTGCACTTACGCACAGTGCCATCGAAAGAGGAGGAGATTGCTGGCCCACCTGTCGCTTCTGTGCTGCAGGCATTTGCTGTCCTAGGAGAACTGCACGCCAAGCTTAAAATTTTTGGTAAGACAGACCGTGGATCCAGATAACCATAGCTGTAGTAGCCCGAGCGGATATGAGTTCAGACTTGTTTTAAGATGGATATCGAGATCCGGTTCACTTCAGCAGTACGCTGGAAGACTTCTTTCTCTCTGGGCTTGTGTTTCCCACTGAGCGTGAGGTGAATGCTCTGGTTCTTATAAAGAGGAAATTATTTATCCTTTATTTATCCTATTATTTCTTCGGAATGATTTCTCCTTTCCTGTCAATTTACTCTACTGTACTGTTTTGATCTGTGGCGATGTGGTTTCACGGTCTGATGTTTAAAGAGTTTTTCCAGTTACAGCCTCCTCGTCTACCAAGAGCAAGACTGCCGGTTTCAGGCAGCCTCTGGGCTTCGGCGTTCTCAGGCGTTGATAAAATAAATCAGGAAGTACGGCAGATACTAGGACAGGACTTCGTGCTTCCAGCTGTTTAAGTTGTTTTTCACTTTACATTAAATATGCTGCTCTTCGTTAGGCCTCCATATGTGTTTTACATGAGTAAAATGGTCTTAGTGAAACCAAACCCAGCGTTTTACCTCATCAGCTGTTCCCTGATACGGCTAGTCAAGAGCGTGTTTCTTCCACTTCACGCGAAGAATCTCTGCATCCAAAATAGTCAACGGTTGGGCCTCACTGGAGCAAACTGCCTGCCTCCTGCTGTTGGAAAACATCTTTTTTTTTTTCATTTCTCAGGCCAGCTGTTGCTGAAATACGTCCTCAAGCCTCTGATTTCATACCCGTCTCTTCAGCCGTTCACAGAGGAACAGTCAGATGTGTTCATCCTACGTTTTAAGTCCGAGGAGCCTAACTTGGATCATTTCTCTCCTATGGAGGTTTTTGACAAGATCAAGCTTATTTTTGAAGTTCTCCACAAATACCTGCTGAGTAGGTAGTTTCTCCCTTTCGGAATTAGACCGAGGTCAGTACCTCGTTCATGTAGTTGGAGCGGGCGCCTTCTAGAATATCTGGTTGTTAAGCAGTATTGAATTACATGTAAGGTCTAAGCAGCTTTTAACGTTAACTTGCTATGCTGTGCTCTGGGACAGCTTGGCACCTTGTCGAATTGAACTTAGCGGTGACCCAGCATTCACAGAGCTGGGAAAATGAAGGAGGAAAGTAGTACGGCTCAAAGGGATCAAGGAATTAGTTTTTTGGTAAACGTTCTTTCCTTATGAACCAGTCACTGCATTGAAGATCTTTGCGTGCCACAGGTCTAAAAGGTGGAAGTCACGACGCGATCCAGGGAGTTCCCTCGGTCAGGCTGGTCACATGCAGGATCTTCCATTGGCTAGAAACTGGCCTGGGCTTTGCTAGCATTCCGTGAAATAAACATGCTGGGAAAGCGGGCTCAGTTTACACATAAATTCGTTTCAGTTGTCTTTCGGGCGGGCAGGCAGGCCCCGCCCGCACGTGGCCTGGATAAGAGGAATACCTCCATTATAAGATTATGGAACAGTTGATAGATGCTGTTCTGACTGGAAGGACTGAATGAACTGGTGAAGGGTCTGGTCCAAGAAGCAGGTGTATTAAAATCCATTTCTGTTCTCTTGAATTCAGATGTGCCTCTTGAGCAGCCTGCGGAAGACAAAAAGGAGTGCAGGCTCACACTCGCGGAACTGCTGGGTGATATGATATGGGAAGAGTTATCGGACTGCCTCATTCAGAACTGTCTGGTGAATTCAATCCCAACCAATAGCAGCAAACTAGAGCAGTATATAGAGGTAGGTCTTAAAAATCTTTCAGATCCACGTGGTGGAAACGCCAGATGGCCAGCTTGAACAAAAAGCTGTGTTTTGCTAATCTAGAATTGTGTATTTCTCTCGGTTAAGCTGTGGCTTGCGTTTCCTGTCACGTAAAGCGTGCAAGGTCTCTGATCTGTGGAACTCGGGCCATATTTAGCTAAGACTTGGAGACTTTCAGGCTGTGCGATGTAAGGCACTTGTCTGAGCCTCTGCGAGAGGCTGAAGATGATGGTGTGGCAGTGCTGCCCGCGCAGCTGGCTTCCTGAGGACCGATTGCTCCGTTTGTCTTCGTATTCCTTGTTAATGATCACAGGGGTTTCTTGCATAGGCCACGTAATTTGTTTTAAAACTACATACCTGAAACAGAACTCGCTGCTAGTGAAGAATGCCAAAAGCTCCTTTTCCTGGAGAGGGGGCTGTTTCCCACAGAAGCAGTCATAGGGTAAACCTCCCGGTCCCTTTGCCCCAGATAGTCCAGTGTAATGAAATTTGATCATCTTGCTCTTCTGGTTTTTGAATTAGGTTGCCAGCACAGTCAGGGGGGACAAACCCGCAGTTCAAACACTGTATTCTTGTGCGATCGTGGCCCCCAGCCGAGCCAGCTTTTTCCAAAAGATTGTGGAAAAGCTGTTGCATGGTTAGTGCCCTCTAAAAACTAGTTTCATCCTTTGCTTTCAGCTGAGTGGAAGAGTTTATCCCCAACTTTAATTTTGTTCTTTGATTTTAGGAAACTATGTTAATGTCGAATATGTGTCTGCTCTTCTCAGGTGATTAAATCCACCGAGGAATTTGAAAAAGCCTTGAAGAACATGCAGTTTTTGAAAGGAGACACGACTGATTTACTGAAATACGCCCGTAACGTCAATTCCCACTTTGCTAACAAGAAGTGCCAGGATGTGATTGTGGCAGCCAGAAACCTGATGACGTCAGAAATACACAATACTGTAAAGGTGACCGTTGATGCAATACACTGTTCTTCTATGTGGAAAAACAGCTTAGCTGTTGAAGAGGGCTTGTCTAGAACAGTCGAGTCCTTTTTTTTGTGGAGTGCTGAATACTCTTGATTATTTGGGGATCTTGGCAAAAAACAGTTTCAAAACCTTTCTCAACAGTGCTCAAGAGGGTTATTTTGCTAACAAGATGTTTATTAAAATACTCGTAGTTTGCTTGCGTAGGCTTTTCTGGCTAGCGTCTTAAGCGTAAGAAAAATTGGAGGATTACTTCCAGAGTTGCTTCTAGGCATGCAACACCATATAGGCTGTTTTGTGGTCTTTCGTTCGTAAGTCAGGAGACTTCCAGCAGGCTTAGGGGACTTCTGCAGCCTTGTGCTCATCTTCAGTCTCAAATCTCTGTCATCCAGTGTTTTGTAGCCTTGCGCAGTCTCCTTTCTGCAGGCTCTAAATCGTACTATACCTCTCTCTTGTTTTCCCTTAGATCACGCCTGATTCCTGTGTAACCCTACCAAGGCTTCCTGATCCTGGGGCAGGAGATCACTTAAAAATGCAAAAAACTTCTAAACTTCTGCCTAACGACATGGTAAATTTGGAGAATGAGACTAAACTGAGCCAGTACACGTTTTCTCTGCCCACGTGCCGCATCAGTTCATCAGTGGAGAAACTGATGGAGCTGGCGTACCAGACGCTGTTGGAGGCTACAGCCAGCACGGATCAGTGGTAGGAATTATATATCAGCGGGTAGCTCTTGGGTGTCGGATACTTATTGCCTTTGGCAACGCCAAGCATCTGTTAATAGATTAAAAGACCTTTAAAAGAACGGAAGATACTTAAAAATCAGAATCAGTCATTAAAGTCACTCTCTGTTTTGGCTGGAGGATGCATGCCTGGCTTCGTGCAGTAGCGTGGTACAGCAGGAACAGCTGTGGACTATGTTCCTTGCAATACTCAGGTTAAGCAGCCTTTCGGGCTTAGGTTTTCAGGGAACGTTCAGGTACTCTTTATTGCATTTTAGCTATTAAAGCAGTGACAACATGGTAAACTCCCTAGCACGCACAACATAGTTCATGGCTTCAGTCTTTTAGTTGGGAGAAACGCTACTGCAGTGTTCACTTCAATGTTTTATTGTACGTTAGCTGTCAGTTGTTTAGAAAAATCAAAACCATCTCTTTTTTTTGAACCAAATGATAAGCGATGGCACCCGCTCCGAGACAAGTTCTTGCTTTTTTTGTGCTGGGTGAAAGCAAAGAACTCCAGCTCTGCATCTGGCAGGGCTCTTCAGGGAAAAGAATTAAACGTTATGAGGAACCACATACAATCTGCTTTAAAAACTGGAGACCGCAACCCTGAAGAAGGAGAGTTGCCTAGGTACTGAATGCCCTTCAGTGTACCGTGGCAGAGAGAGGGCTGACCAGTTACGCACACCTGGTGGGGAAGGGACACTGTCCCCTTTGTTCCTGGGGCTACGTGTATCTCCCTTCTGAAATGTGGTCTGAGGCTTGTCTTTTCCACGCTGAACTTACAAGGTCAGCACAGCCTTTGTGAGTTTTCCAGAACGTTGCCTTTGTTGACATCGCTGTAATTGATCCTGACAATCTACTCTTTGTGCCAGTACTTCACTGTCAGTGCTTCGCTACTAATAAAACCTTGTTTTGGAGAAAGTTGCGGGTGACTTGTGAACAAGACGTTAATTCCATTGACAAACTAACAGAAACCTTATTTTCCTTATAGCTGTATACAGCTCTTCTACTCTGTACGGAATATATTCCAGCTGTTCTATGATGTAGTGCCAACGTACCACAAGTAAGTGCGGGTGGGTGGGTGTGTGTATTACCTAGGGCCTGTTTTGGAGAGACCAGTGCTATTGGGACAGCCCCACTTGTCCCCAGTTTATCCACCGCAGCCAGAGATTACTAAGCGGGATTACTATTCTTCCTCCAGAGGCAAAAAGCTAGCGCTCTTTATCTATTATTAAATCGTACCTGCTGCAGAATAGGTGCTTGAGGGTTTCTGAGTTGGCAGTCTTATGACCTGGAGATAGTTGCAGTTCTTACAACAGTTGTGTTTGAATCCAGCCACGTAACTTTGACCCCAGGTCTGATGCAGAGATTTTTCATGATGTTCGTCCTGTAAAAAAGAGCAGCAATGAAGCTTGAAAGTATACAATTCTGTCAGAGAACACTGGGGTATTACTGAAAAGGACTTCTCTCTCTTTTCCTCACCGTAACTTTGCTGTAAGAAAGTATCTTCCTGTTTGAAAGTCCTTCGCTGGAAACAATGTGGATATATCGCATGGTTTGAACGCCAAAGGGCCATTTCAGTAGCCATGAAACTCCTTTCCTGCAAGTTCCTGTGTGGATGTGACAGGAGGTTAAATGCTTTTATTCCGACTGATGGCTTTATCAGGCATTGCCCACAGCTACTTACTCGCAACATCTGTCTGAGACAGATCGTGAGTTTCTCTAGGGTAGGCGTGACGATTCTTTTAGCAGAGCCAGGTCTAAATAAATACATTTCTTCCTTTTCTCTTCCTCCTTCCTTGGACAGGGAGAACCTTCAGAAATTGCCCCAGCTGGCAGCCATTCACCACAACAACTGCATGTATATCGCTCACCACTTGCTCACCCTGGGACACCAGTTCCGATACCGCCTGACTAACATCCTGTGCGACGGAGCGGCTACTTTTGTAGATCTGGTACCTGGTTTTAGGAGACTCGGTAATTTTACCTTTCGGTATTGAAATATATTGATGGATGACACGGCAACTAATCCTGGCATTTATTGCTGAATGATTTCATGTTAAGTGTGGCTCCTGACTCGAGCAGCGGATTGTTATTTAAGAGTTTTGGACAAGTAGCGAGGACATTTTCTAGATTGGGAAGTCTGACAGAGCGTTACGACTCTAAGCAAGATGGCTGTTCAGGGCTCGACTCTGAAACCCAGCTCTTTGTGTCCAGCACTTAGTTCCAAGAACAGTTCATTATCCAGCGAGATCCTGTGGCACTCAGATATTTTGGGATCGGCTGCTCAGTCCTTTCATACTTTCTTTAGCTTATTCTGTGGAAACAAATTCTGAGAAGTTTGTATGAGCCTAACAGGAACCCGTCATCCATAGTTAATGCTGCTACTCAGCTCTTTTTCAAAAACGTTGCAGCAACGCAAGCTGCGCAAGAGCTTACCGAATATGTGACTGGGCCTGGCTGAATTTGCTCTACGAGACCGTTTGGAGACTGGAAATTCCTTTAAAAATAAAACGTTATAGCAAGTTCATTATTCAGCACTGAGAGTCTCTAAATTGGCAGAGCAACTTTAGTAATTGCTTAATTGCTTGTCTCTGCTTGTTTTTGCTCCTAAAGGGATGGAGTGTTTTCTGGCCCAGATGCGAGTGCAGAAAGGAGAAATCCTGGAAAGGCTGTCAAGTGCCAGGAACTTTTCCAATATGGATGACGAGGAAAATTACTGTGCGGCAAACAAAGCAATAAGGCAGGTAAGCAAGGCAATCAAAGCCAAATCTCCCATTGTCTGAAGGTGTTGTCCTTGGGAAGGTACAGTTTCTGATCTCAGTCCTGAGAACTGTGCGGCATTTCAGCGGAGTGGAACTTTTCAAAACAACAATTTTCTGGCGTGTTTTTTTTTTTTTTTTCCCCCTGGGCTGCGTCTTTTTGCAAAATTGAAGCATGCTGAGTTCAGTTCCTCTTGGTCCAAGTTGAAATGAAAAGCTTCTTAATCTTGAACTTTTGTTTATAGTACGTTTATAATGTTTTTCATTTTTCAAGGACAAGATCTGCCACACTTCTGATGAGCCTTAAGGCAAACTGAAAACGTTGCATTTCTTCCCAGGAACGTCTGCTCCATAGAGCAGGATAGCAGGATATCCTGCTATCGCAGGATACTTCATTGCCTTTTGCTTCTTTCAAACTGGTTTCTGACCATATGTAGTCACCTTATCATTCAGCACCTCTCTCAACGTTCTTTTTGATAACGTGTAGATAACACACAGCTCTTACCTTCCAGGTATTACATCAGCTGAAAAGACTGGGAAAAGTCTGGCAAGATGTCCTTCCAGTGAACATATACTGCAAGGCTATGGGGACTTTACTGAACACAGCTCTCACAGAGGTTGTCACGAGGATTGCTGCCCTAGAGGTAACTGCACGAGATGGACATGCCGGGCATGGGGTGGTGCGAACAGCTAGCATTGGTCACCTCTAGGAGTTCTTTCCAAGATCGGGTTTCAGGGGAACAGTTATCTTTCACAGAAATTGTAATTGTGGTCCTGTCTATGAGAAGTGGTCAAGATACCTCTAACACATCCAGTTGAGACCATATATGCTCTTACAGCGGTTCTATAACTCTCTAGTCAAGGGGAGAGTCACGGAAGTGTCCGTCATTTCATCTTAATTTGGATTTAGGCATGTCACTCCTACTATAAGCGCATATATATATATATTTATATTCTGTGAATCGATCTCCTTTTATTTGTGCAGGGCAGAGGAGTTAGCCGTTGTCTCAGACTCCATCTATTCTGATACGTTTGCAGTCTGTGCATCTCTAATGAACCTCTCCATCCTCTGTAGGCACCAGATGCCGAAATCCCTGTGGCATTTCAACCTGAAATTCTTATCTGTGTAATCTCCATTTGACTCCCAGTACTGTGTTTAAGGGATTGTCAGGTTACCTTGGGTCAAGTACAACTATCCTATTACATTTCTTAATTAAAATACGTTTTCACAGCAAATGATAGAAATATGTTAGTGCATCTGTTCTAGTTGTAGTCTACATCCAAAGAGCCTTCCCACCGTGCATTAGGCCAGTAAGTCCTCTTTTCCCATAACAGCTAGTTTACAGGACACGTCCTCAGGCTGCGCCTGCCAAAAAGCTTGGCTTTCATCATAGGGCTGGCAATGCCCGAGCAATTTCTTTGTAAACCCTTCAGACCTTCATCGTAACACCTCTGCTTCACAGCGAAATGCTTGCTGTTGCACTAAGATACGCTGTTTAGAAGCGCAACCGTTGTTTTGAGGCAATTGCTGAGAACTTGCTGAAATAGCTATTCATGAAATAAGTTATATTAGCTTGAGAATGTTAAATGTGATCTGAACCTCTGCTTTCATCTTCACACACAGAGCCACCTTTTTTTCATTTCACTTACTGCTTGGCACTCCAAAAATACATCTAACTGCTCCCCTGTTAACATTTGGTCAATTCTAGGACATCTCAGCAGAAGACGCAGATAGGTTGTACTCCCTCTGTAGGACCATGGTGGAGGAAGGACCCCAAGTTTTCACCCCACTACCTGAAGACGACAAAAACAAGAAATACCAAGAGGAGGTTCCAGTCTACGTGCAGAAATGGATGACGTTCAAAGAGCTGATGATCATCTTGCAAGCCAACCTCCAAGAAATAGTAGATCAGTAGGTGTCTTCCTTTCTTCCTTTTCAGTTAGTTCTTCACCCCAAGAACAGGGAGCTGGGAAGAGGTCTGACATCAGCAGGGGACTGCATGCAGGGGACTCCCTTCAGATGAAAGGCGTTCACCCTTAGTAAGGATCAGATAACTGCTCCTGGGGCTGTTTCCTGGCTGTGTGTTTATAGTCCATTTCAAGCTTGCTCGTATATTCAGCTGCCTCCCGCAAAGGAAAAGGCAATGGTAAAAAAACCCAAGCGCCACAGGAGAGCCAGCCACGGAGCCGTTGTGCGTCCCCCTTGGCTTCGCTAAGTTCAGAAGTATTTCGCGGTAAGCAGCCCGGCATTTTGCCTGCTGCTTTTGATGTTAGCTGTGCCTTGCTGCTGCAATCGTTCCACGAGATCGGCCTCTGCTTTTTAGATGCTGTTTCCTGCTTCTTTTAACTTGCAAGGGGGATTCATCTGAATTATACATGAGGATCTGCATAATGACCTCTATTACTTTAGATGGCATGAGTTGTCAGAAGCTAGACGTTCCCTTTTCACAGCTGCCTCTCACATAGGTCTGAACGGCAGGAAAACATACTGTCCTCAGCAGGCTGAGCTGAGAAGGTACCTGCCGTGGAGAAGGCGCACAGGGAAGGCAGTTCCTTTTCTGTGCCCTGCTCATTGCTGCTGTCGGAACCGTGTTAGACCCCAAGGTTCGCAACTCTTCCTTCCAGCTGAGCGTAAAGCACTTTTTTTTTCTTTTTGTTTGGGAGGCGAATGGGGATTTTGCAGACAGGCTTTAGGCTTATTTCGGAGAAGGAAAAGGTACAGCTTGTAACAAGTGCAAAAATCACCTCACAACCTGTTGCTTTATATACCTAGCTAAACGATCCTGGACTCGAGTTCCATACGGCTAGTAGGCTGCTAACTGGACTTGTTTTGCCTTCAGACTTACTACTGTAACGAGCACTCGGGAGGCTTGTTTTAACATGACATTTCTGTGCAGTTTGGTTAACCAAAGATCTTTCTCTCCCACGTAGGTGGGCGGATGGGAAGGGGCCTCTCGCAGCTGAATTCTCCGCAGCTGAAGTGAAGAGTCTCATCCGAGCCTTGTTCCAGAACACAGAAAGGAGAGCAGCAGCACTGGCCAAAATTAAGTAGCTCTGTTTACTCCTACATGTTGCATCTTCTGATAAAGCAAGTGCAAACTGAGTCTTTCAAATATTTTTTGGACTTGACCCTTCTTATTTGTACTGGTATGAAACAGCTTAGCATTAGGTAAGTGCTTCCTAAGGCTTGACTGAGGGAGAAGAAACACTTCCTAGCTCAATGTTTGCAGGGCAAAGAGGATGGCGCTGCGAGTCTGGGACCAGAAAATCAAAGGCGGGTAACACATGGACACTAACTGCTTATGCTCCATCTGCCAGGCAGATGGAGTTCGGGCTTGAAAATTCAGTCTCCTGCCGTGCTCCCCAGAGGCGTTCTGCCCAGATCCAAGTTTTCCTTCGTGAGCTGGTGGGTGTACAGTCCTGGTGAAGAAGAGATGCTTTTTGTGATGTTTGCTGATTTCCATTCTCTAGGATTTCCTCTTCCTGTTAAGCCCAGCGTAGGAAAGTAAAGCAAATCTTGTATCCAACATCTCTTTGTGAGAACAGGCACTGCTGTCAGGTGGGCCTCTCACGCAAGGCGCTGTATAATGTCAGCTCAAGCTTGCTCGCTTAAGGGTCTTGTAGAGGGATTTTTCTTTCTCAGTAGTGAACCTTATCTATGCAGTTTTACATCAGGGGGCACGTAGCCCCTTTGTGTCTTACCTCTCTGTCCCTGCAAATTACATATGAAACCCACAGACTTTGATAGCCTTGAAGAACGCTGCAGTGCCAAACTTTGTTCTTTCCCACCTCAGGTTTCCGTGAAGAGCTGACCTCAAGAGAGTGAAAATTTGGGGGGGTGGGGGAGAGGAGATCCCGTTCTGAGTGAACTGTTTATCAGGGCACAGGGTTTTGCACAAGTGGCAAAATTCCTCATGGCTTTATTTCTCATGGAAAATATCTTAAAACTAACTTAGAATTTTTCAATCTCACTTTACCAACTGTAGAAGCCAGTTCAGCTCCTTCCTTTACCCTTCTGTTGTGTGTGAACTAGGTAGGTCTGGCATCTGTTGTGTTTCTGGTGGTAAATTTTCTGTCCTTTAAGAATTACGAGAGAAATATGAATGAATATAAAAAGGGAATGAAAAGATAATGCTATGAGTGCACGCTTAAGTTACAAAAGGCTATCTTTGAGACTCCGAGAAACATACATTTCTTTTAATTGAAAACCTCACCAAGAGCATTCATTAAACCACAGCCCAGAGGCCAAGATGTGCCAGTCGCTGCACACATGGAACAAAGTATTTCCTACCACGCAGTGCTTACAACCTGCTTAAAGAAGTTTCCATCACAGAGCTTAATGTTTTCATCTGTTATCAACTACTGTTGTATCCTTTACATTTGCACTTTAGTCTGACTTCTCTTCACATTTCCAAGCATTTCTGCGGGGCCTGAATCGCAGGTGGTGAGGAGACCCTTCCGTTTCGGGCTTTAACTGGCATAACGAGGGGGCAAATGCAGCCAAATTGGCAGTTAGACTGAGTCCAGCACATGGGAATGCAGCAAGGGAGATACCGAAGCAAAAGCTGACCGCCACTTGAAACTCTAGCTTTTTCTTTTCTTCCCCTCCAAGTGATTTATCTGAAGGCTGAGAGTGTTCCCGTAACACTTACATCTCATGGGATCCCCTGCCCCTTTACACATAGCAATCCAAAAAAGCGCGTATTTCGGAAACCACCACCTCTCCCATGTGGATTGTTCACAGAAATGTAATTTGCTATTTTCTTTAATAAACTATTTATACTGAGCATGTTTTCTACCATTGTCTGGGGATTCTGTTAGGGTTATAGTAACACAGTACGAATTAGTCCTGGACCGTTCTCCACTTACTATGTGGAAAGGGCAAAGTGTTGCTCTGTGAAGTCTCTCCTTGCCTTTTCTAGTAGATCTAGTCCAAAAAAAAAAAAAAGAAAACAAAAAACTGAATCAGTACCATGAAAGAGGTTGTCCGAGAGGTTCGTGCGTCAAGGGTGAGCGTAGGGTAGCAAAGCAAAGAGTTAAAATAGGATGCTAGCATTGGGATTTGCGTATGCGACACGCACGGCTGTAGGTCAGGCTGAACATACATACGCCCTTGCTTGCTCCAGCTTACCTCAGTGATGTGATAAATCCATGGCAGAAGCTGAGCCACATTGGTATAAACCCCAGGGTGGTTGGGTTCAGCACAGCCTTGGCCCCAGCTCACGATGCCCACTAAGCGCCACGTGAATTCATCCTGGCAAACCAGGGGGCCCCCGCTGTCACCCTGCAAGAAAGGGCGGGCACTAATGAAGCAGCTCTGCCCCGCTCGCAGCTGGGATGCAGATCAGGCTGCCTTCTCCCACACGGCTTTGTGCCATCAGCCATACAAGAAGCTGTAACGCCGGTACAAGAGTAGCGTGTGCCTGCCTGCAAGGTTGCCGTGTTCCTTCTATAAGGATAGCTAAATATCAGCCCGACATCGATGCACCGGGGCGCTGCGGGCTCCACGCTGCAGTGCAAGATGCAGTGGGCCCAGCACTACCCCCCACAGACTGTTTACTGCAAGCTGTTGCCCCAAACCCCAGCATTTGCTGGAGCGTAACAGGGACATAGAGCGTATCGGCCCTTTCCACACCTGCTGTGCACACCCAGCATGCACCACTCGCTCCCTCCTCTCACCTGGCATGCATCTATTTTCCCATGCGGGTAGCCGGCACACAGCATCCTGGCGGTGAGCTCGCCTGCGTACATGCACGAACTATTGCACCTCTTGGTACCGATTAAGGGAACGAGCGCTTCCTTCAGTGTCTCGATAACCTGTGCTGGAGAGAGAGAGAAGCCAAGAGGAAACCAAGATCTGCAGGGAGCGAGAGGGGAAGAGCAGGGCACTAGCTGGAGAAGTCAGAGGATGGGAAAGATGGAATCACCTTATGGCATTAAATATGGCCGGGCCCAGAGGGGCTGTGGATGTGGTTTGCAGAGCTGCTGGAGCAGGGGTGGGATGAAGGCAGGAGGGGGCATTTGCAAGATCACACGAGGCATGGAAGGGACTGGCCAGGGCCAGCAGGGAGCAAGGGGAAAGCCTCCGGTCGGGGCTGAGCAGCAGGGACAAGATGGGAGCTTACCTTGGTCTGGTCTGGTATAGCCCCAGCCGGAGACCCAACACTGCGTGCCCTGGAAGAGGTCCTGGTGGGAGGGTGGCAGACACACAGCACGGATGGCATCTGCTAAGGAGATGGGTAAGTGCCAGGCCAGCCGGGACAGCTTCGCGCTGTGCTGAGCACGAGCAGCCAGGGAAGGGCTGCGGAGCTATCAGCCTGCAGAGCCACTCAGCCCGCCACGTTGAAGTGAAAGATTCTCGGGCCAGGCGCTCTGGAGACGTCAGCTCCCACAGCCACCTTCCCAGTAATTCACAGCTCTGGCACAGTTCAAAGCACCACGCTGCTGTGCGTGCTGCCTCCCGGGTACCAGGCTGGATATCCTTAAAGAGCTGCTCTGAAATGGCAGGTTCAGAAGAGGCTGGTTTTTGTCCATCTCTTAATTCTGGGATAAGACAGACAACTCCACAGATGGGAGAAGGACACAACAGCATCGCGACAGCATCTTACCTGAGAAATTCAGGGGGACTTGGAGCTTCATCAGAGCAATGTCATAGTCGAGGCTATTGTCATTATAAAGCGGGTGGTAAATTATTTTCTTTACTGATACCCCAGCCTCCTGCTTCATCGAGCCATGGGTGATAATGCCTGCGAAAACCAGCCAGGCGGAGGCTTGAAGCCGCCTGTAACTGAGCAGAAATACAGCGTGCCTCTTACTGCAGGGCAACAAGCGCCAAGGCCTGGGATAAGAGCAGACAGACAGCGCCTCTGAGGCTGGGCACGGGAGAGCCCGGAGGTACCTGTGCACGCAGTGAGCTGCCGTGACGATCCATTCGCGTGCCAGCACAGAGCCTCCGCAGTGGTGCTGGGAGCCGTGGTACACGCTGACCTGCCAGGGCCAGCGTCCTGGGGGCACGTCCGCCCCCCCGACCACCCGCGCAGCACTGGGGTGCAGCCCGCACTCTGCAAGACAGCCGGGGAGCACGTTTTAGGCGAAGCTCCGGGTGCCAGACCCTGACGCTGGCGGGTGAGGGAAGCGGGTGGAGTGGGAGCGAAGAAACTGCTAGATCCAGGGGGAGATCTTGGGGACGTAGGAGAGGAGAGAGGCACTCACCTGAGCATTTCAGAGCCACAATTTGACCCGATTCACAGCTGCTCCTGCATGGGAATAAGCCTCTGGTCAGAATGCACATGAACCAAAATCCCTGGGGCACTAGGGAGCTCCAGGGCAGCTGCAGCAGTCCCCAAAGGGGCTGCCTACTGCACAAAACCAGGACAGTTTTCTACGTTCTTAAGCCTGAAAAAAAGGCCACTGTTTCAGCCCCACCAGCAAACTCTGCTTCCCCCAGAGCTGCCCTTACCTGACCTGCCACATGTCTTCCAGACTGCCTTCCTGGTGGGGTCTCACCTGAATGAACTCCTGTGTGTCATTCACCTTGACGTCCGTCAAGTTCACTCCTTTCTGATGGGTCATTCTGCAGAAGCAACAGTAAGTGTCCCAGGAAGGGGCTGGGAACCTGCTAGGGGATCAGGAATGTAACCCTGCCATGGGAACAACGGTCCACAGTCCTGCTGCTCTGGCAGCCAGGAATGAACCTCCTTGGCAGGAAGGATCTTCTGCAGCTCTTCTCGCAGGTCTCCATGCCAGCCCGAGCCCTGGTTCCTGTCCTGCATTCACCAGGGAGCTGTGCAATCTGGGCACTGCTGCCCTGACAAATCTCCCAGCCTTGAAGCACCTGCTTTAGCCAAGATCATTCCCCTTGGAAAAGGGCGAGTAGGGGTCTAAGCGGCTGCCCTCTGCTGTGCCCACCTGAGATACCCGAGCTGCCGGCAGAGCAGGGTGCCCAGGGAGAGACTCCAGTGCTCGTGGCATGCCAGGAGCCAGCCAGGATGGCCTTCCACCTGCGCTTCCAGCAGGGAGTTCGCCGTGTTTATTCTGAAAGACACTAAAGCCATTCCATTTAAAGACAACCTGCAAGTTCCCTTCCTCGCAGTGTTTTGTGCAGGGCCAGCACAGTGGATGGTCATGCACATCTAAAGCAAAAAAAGCCCCAAAACCCCAGGAAAAGCCATTCGAAGCAACTACAAACAATACATGAACCTATCTGCATATTCTCAGTGCCTGCGTGGCAGCTCTGCTGAGCGGTTACATGCAAAGGAGTCCTGCAAGAGTTGCCTTTGCTGTAGGCTCACCCTATGCAATGAAGCCGTAATGCTGGGGAATGCAGCAGGACTTAAAAGCGAAGCAAAAATCACAACCTGCAGCTGAAAGAAGCTAGTGGATCAGCAGGAGATATTTGTTATTAAAAAGCATCTTTTCTGTTCTTGCTGGGCTTGGCAGGCACTGTCCTGCACACTGCTCCCCTCTCCCCATCCTCTGCAGCAGCAAGCAAAGACGTAAACCTCTATTGGGAGCCCCACGGACCACGGGGTCTTCCTCTTCACCGTCACTGCACGCTGGGATCTCATCTGGCTCCTGCAGCAGGGTGAAGCCCTGGTCTGGCTGAGGCTTCTTCAGGTGTTTCACTTCAGGAAACAGAGAAGGGAGTGGAGGTGGATTCACACAGCCTCGGCAGCATCCGAGGATGCACAATATTGGGAACGATCCTGCACTGCCCACTGGAAGAGGTGATGACCCTCTCAACGGGCACAGCTGCAGCTTGCTGCTGGCACCACAGCAGCCACCAGCAGAGCCCACCCCAGCCACGTCCCCCCGTCCCAAGCCACAGCTCACTGACCAAGGAGCTCCCATCACCACCACCTCTGCTGCCGGCGCCCCGAACTCGCTCGCCAGTTTGGCAGCTGGGCTCTGCCCGCAGCGGCAGGGCTGTCCCGGAGCAGACACTGACCTAGGAGCCCTGCCCCAGCCCCAGCTGCTGCCCCCGCCAGCAGCCCAGTGACCACGAGCAGCAGGAACAGCCTCCTGACGGTGCAGAGAGTTTTGAAGGAAGCATTAGCAGAATCTTTAAGAAACAGAGAGGGAGAGAGGATTAACATGGTCTTGTCTGTCTCTCACAGCACTGTCAAACCCCTGGTGAAGCCCCTGGGTCGTTATACACCTGTTCCTAGGACTCACCCAATCCTTTCCCCACAATGCCAGGAGGAGGTGAGCTAAGGCCACGGTTTCTACGGGAGGTCAAGACTCAGAGGGCCCCCCCGTTCCCAAAGCCCATAAATAGCTCACCCACCGTGTCCCGGAGAGGCCTGTGTCCTCCTTGCTTCCCTCCTTGGCTCTGCTGTCGGGCTCTTGCAGCTTTGCATGGTGTCCTCAATGCGAGGCAGGTTGTCGGGAACGCGCTCAGCTAAGGCTGGGCTCTAGGGAAAGGAGTGGAGTCCTGGAGCAGGTCAGCAACAAAGGCCAGGTCTCGTGGAAGGGGACAAGCTTCAAGCGATGACACCGCTGCCCAGGCTGGCTGCTGCAGCGGGGGGGCAAGGCGAGGAAGCACTTCTCACCGTGATAGCAAGGAGCGGGGCAGCTGCTAGTTTGGGCTGCTGCTGAGCCACCACAGGAGCTGAGCACACAGGTCTCCTGCAAACCAGCTCGGGTTTCCCTCTGCACGCTCCCGGCACAATGCTGTGCACGCGCGCTGCACGGCGCCTGTGGCCACGCTGAAGGGGGCTCCTTGTTTCAGGGCCCCCCCTCTCCCCCGACA